CTGCTGGGGCCTCTGTGCTCACTCATTACTACTCCATCCAGTGCTGCGGGCGCCTATATGCAGATAGTGCTCTGTGGAGGCCAGGGGGCAGTTGGTCTCAGCCAGGGTCCGGCAGAGCACTTAGGGACATGCAGCCCTTACACCAGGTTTGTTGCCACGTGAGAGGCTAGATGACATGGTGGTAGACGCAGTGGGCTGTGTGCTGTAGAAGCAGTGGCCTGTGAGAGAGACCTTTCTCCATTGTCAGGGCACTTTACAGTTTAAAGGGTATTTTCCCATACACTGTCTCTTTGATTCGCTGAGGTAGCTGGGTTTTCCAGAAAAGAGAGAACATGAGAAATACCATGTAGAGTCACCAGGCCAGGCACTTTCCTGCATTATCTCCTAATCCTCACAAAGACCCTCGGAGTAGGCCAGCCCGTTTTACAGGTACTGGGATGGGAAACCACTTGCCCCAGGTGACTGCCATCCTGGGGCAGGGGCAGCGTCACACCCAGGGGAGGGCTGATGATAGGGGCTTAGGGGAGCCTGGGGAGGGCCCTGTTGTCTCTTGGTTGGGGAGTGAACAAACCAGAAACTGACCCTCTGTCTGCCTGCCCTGCCCAAGTGCTTCCTCATCTGTAGACTGGAGGTCTTGGGCTTGACTCTCAAATTCTTTTCTATCCATAAGATTATCTCAAAAGCACCGTCCAATAAAAATAGAATGCGAGCCACATACATAATTTTAATTCTTCTAATGGCCAAGTTTTAAAAAGTAAAAGAAACAGGTAAAATTAATTTTAATAATATATCTTCTTCAACCCAGTATATTCAAAATGTCATTTCAACATGCCAACAATATAAAAATCAATATAAACAAAATTACTAAAGAGATATTTTACATTCTTTTTTGTACTAAATCTTCAACATCCTATGTGCACGATACACTTAAAACATATCTCTATTTTGACGCTAAATTTTTAACAGTTAAAGTGCAACGGAGTCCTACCAAAACAATAAAGTTGTTTTTCATGGAAAAATATTTTATACTCTTCACTTTTTAAATTTAAATAAATAATTTAAGTAAAGTGAAATGGTAGTTCCTCAGTTGCACTAGCTGTACTTCAAGTGCTCAGTAGACACAGGTGTTCCAGCGGTCACTCTATCAGGCAGTGCAATTCTAGAAGATGCTTTCTGTTGGGTAGCCTCAGTCCTGCCTCTGAGTTCAGCCTTGGAGCTGTGGGCTGGAGGCGTGTAGCGGGCACCACAGGAGATGGGAAAGAAAGACTCTCCTGTCCTGGAAGCCAGTGGGGCTGGGGCTCAGCAAGGGCCACCTTTGCTGAGATTTTAGGAGAATCTCAGAGGTTCTTCTGCCTCCACCACTGGTCTTCCATAATAGCATAATCACTAAGCTTCTGAGCACCTCTCATGTGCTGGACACTGTCCTGAGGGCTGTGTGTCAGAGGAGAACTGCACCCTATAGGGTTTTCAGAGGTGGATCTCCAGACCTTTCTTCCAAGGTGCCTCTGGGTAGACTTGAAATTCCAACTTTTAGGTTAGCAGCAGAGCACATTTCCAAGGCTGATTTGCACCACCCAGGGACCCCAACCCACCCACTGCCATTGAGTCAATTCTGACTCATAGCGACCCCATAGGGTTTCCAAGGCTGTAAATCTCTCGGAAGCAGAC